CCCCACCCCTGCTCCACTCCGGCCTCACGGCACCGTCTCCCTCACTGTATTTGGATCGATCGCACTGCATTCGGTTTACGTCGAATGCCCAACACTGTTAGGCTAGCATTATTTCCGTGATTAAAACGAATCAGTTAAATTTGTCACTTGTTTCAGAGCCCCACCAACCTCCAACCGTTTCTGTCTTCCTCCTCAATCATGATTTGCATCATACGATGGAACTCGCAAATGAACTATGATGTATAAAATAAATTCACTTGCTCATTATGGAAATGCTGAATCCCATTTAAAAAAAAATTCATGATCAATCCCCCCCTTCCACCTCTGTTCTACTGGTCATATTGGACTACGTTTGAAAAAGGTTTATTAGGCTGCTCGAAGCCCTGGTGTACAACTTATGTCCTCCCGCGCTGTCTTCGGGATTGACTGTTTTGACCAGTGAATCTGCCCACACACAAGGTACAAGGCTAGCAATCTCCCCCTCCTACGCTTTCACTTTTGAATGAATCATTTGGATTTAATCGAAGAGAGGTCACGTGACGCTTAAAATGCCGCTCGTGGTCATGAGTGCAGTTGTGAATCAGCCATTGCCATGCGTTCACAGTAATATGGAGGCGAGTTGGCTGGTCGAACAAAAATGACGTACGTGTCGGCTGACTGCAACCCCACACACGTGGTGCACATTTATGCGATTGTTCTATAGTTCGGTTCAATTGCTCCATTTGCTTGAAGTGCATACGATTTTCAACGGATTGTTTAACCGTGACGTCTATTCGTGTACCACAGTCTGCTTGGTCTGTCATCATCCTAGTTCCCTGAGGTTCTGTTAATGACAACGGCCCGATATTTCCTAAATGGTGCTTGGGCATTTCGTATGAGGCAGCGCTTCACATGTCAAATCAATCTGTTAGCTGCCTGCCACATACGCACTCACATTCTGAGTCTCTGTCCAATCAGAACACGCTATGGTCAATATCTTTTGGCCAATCCGATAGCGATACAGCTATGAATTTCAACACATGACACGCCATTCTACAGAATCCCGTGACACCTCGGCGTATTTTTGTGAACGCTGTTCTGTTTATTTCATTATATGCATCCATTTACTTGGAAAATACGTATTGAACGAGTTTTGGACGGCAGACCCTAAAGTTGTCCATTTGCTAGGTCAATGAAGAAAGTATGAATTAAGGAAAGGAGTAAAAATCTGGGGCGCCGCAGTGGGACAAACAGATAGATTATGTGTGTGTGCGTGTGTGTGTGTGTGTGTGTGTGTGTGTGTGTGTAGAAAGTGAGTATGGGCACGAGTACCACACTCTGTCATACCCAGTCATCACCCGGTGTCAAGTGATGAAGGTCACTAACTTATCATTCAAGAGAACGTGTGCTCGAATCCCTACCACCACCAGCACAACCTGGAGTAAAGACTCAGTACGTTGCATCACACATCGCTGCAGTGACGTCAAATAAACTAAATGACTAACTGTTTGACTCCGGATTCTGAAAATGGAGGGGAGTGGGACGAGAATTGACATTTCTGTTCAATACTTCCGTGGAATCTCCTATTCCAGATGGGATCGATGGATATGCCCCACCGAAGAGCGGGAACAAAAACGAAATTGAAGCCGATATTGTGCAACGACAGTATCATCGATTGGGTGAATTGAGTACTATCCCGGATAGTGAACTGGATAAGACGATTTGTCACACTAAAAATACAAAAATTATTTGAATTTAGAGATTAGCTGTGCAATTAAAGTGAAACAGTTCTGGTAGACTTTGAGTTTTGGTTTCCGATGGTTTGGGTTTTTCTGACTTGAACACGTTCGACTGCCAGCGCCAGTAATATTTTAGCGTGAGTGCTTGTTGTATCTCACTGGAACTTTTTGGTTCATGACATTTTGCTTGCTTTGCCTTGCAGATTCGACTTCAACCCCGCCACTCACGGAACAGACCGGCATCTGCAAGTATTGCCTCACCAACCCGTGTCCCGCATCCCTACAGCCGTTCCCCGACATCGTTCGTCACCCGCAAAACCTTGTATCGTCTCCAGTTGCGAGAATCCTGTCGCACGTTTCTGTTCACTCCGCTGCGTTGCAAGATCCCGGATTACGTTCGCATTACACCAGTTCCTTGAATTGACTTGGTTGACTAATGTTATTAACAATAGTCTCATCAACATCATTATCAGAACGCATGTAATGCAAATACATATTCGCGAGGATTTCCCTTTCCAACTGATTGCAAGCACTTTTAAAACAACGTAGGTGGTGTATGCTGAGAGTTACACTAGATGAAATCGAGTGAGTTTAATTGAAATCCAATGGCTCATGGATTCACTCGTCGAATGAGGCAGGGGATGAGATTCGATTGCATAATAATAGCCAATAAACTGGGGTCATCTGTGGGCTCACAAGATCCAGTTTTGGTGGAGGAAATTCCTAGTGCATGGATCAACTTTCGTAACAGTCAGAAGTCATTATATATATATATATATATATATATATAATTGTTATATTGACTGTAGCAATCAGTTGTCCCCTCGGTCGGGGGGTAATTTTATGGCCAACCGAACTGGATGATCAAGGCTCTAAAAACTGAGTGAGCTCCTTTGACAATATCTGACGTCGACTGTGCTTATCTGGTCCCAAACAGCCCTGTGAAAGCTGGTCCACATTTCTGTTTTGTCTATTCAGCATCTCAACATGACTTCGGCATTCTCTCAATCAACTGAATCAGAATCAGCAAATTGACTTGGACAAATTTAATCGGACCGTTTTCGTATCAATCTCGCAATTAAGCAAAAAAACAGGAGAACGGTCAAATTATGCATTCTAAGCGTTAGGGC